ATCATGTGCTCCAGCCCCCTAATCATTTTTGTTGCCCATCGCTGGACTCTTTCCAATTTTTCCACATCCTCCTTGTAGTGTGGGGATGAAAACTGGACACAGTACTTCAGATGAGGCCTCACCAATGTCGAATAGAGGGGAATGATCATGTCCCTCGATCTGCTGGCAATGCCCCTATGTAATGGTCCCTCGCTCTCCCGCTCAGAGGGAGGCCACTCAGGCTAGTCCTGTGGGGGGAGGGGGGAATCAGGACCAGAGTCTGTAAGACAGGCAAGAGCCCCAATAGGGCTGCACGGTTAATAGTCACTACCAGGCTTTAGCCTGGCCTGGGGTAGCTCAGGTAGTCAGCCCTTACCCATAGTCTATCCGGGCTGGCTGGGGCGTGGGTAGAGCTCAGGCAGCCAGCAAGCAAAACAGTCTACAGGTGAGTGGCACGGGAAGCTCCTCTTCAGAGCTAGAACCACCTTTCCCTGTGTAGGGGTTCAGCCACCCTGGGATGGGGTGGCAGGGGGACACGGGCCCACCCTACTCCAGCGTGTCCCAGCCCAGGGCCCTGTGTCGGCAGGGATCCAGCTGCAACACGCCAACTGGGCCCCCTCTGGCTCTGCCGCCAGCTGCTCCGGGGCTGCCCCTGGGCCACTTCCTGCCACCCGGGGGTTCGGTACCTGAGGTCTCTAGGCCTCTTGCAGCTCCTCGGGGTATATGGCAGCAGGTGCTCCGGGGCCAGTCCTCGTCAGCGTCTGGGCATCGGGAACAGCAAGGCGTAGGTTCCTCTCGGGGATGGCGGGAGAATAGGCTGAGCGTCCTTCTCCTCCGCAGGCTCTCCCCCAACTGTGCTGTGGGACCGGCCTTTTATACTTCTGGTCCCACCCTGGTACTTCCGGCGAGGGGGGCGGGGCAATCTAGGCTCCACCCTCCAAAGGGCGTGTAATGCTCCCTCACTGCCTGCTCGGAGGGAGGCCACTCAGCCTCACTACACACACACACACCCCTCAAGTCCATCTCCGGGAACGCGGAGATGGCACTCTCCTCCTCCCCCAGCTAGGAGAAAAAGTCCGCGTTGACATGCTCCTTACCTGCTTGATGCCGAACCGTGAAGGTATGAGGCTGCAGGGTTAGGTAGCGACGCATAATCCGGGGGTTTGTCTCTTTTGCCGTTTGTAGACACTTCAGAGGTGCGTGGTCAGTCACTAGTATGAAGGGGCCGCCTACGAGATAATATCTTAAGGCGTCCACCGCCCACTTGACGGCCAGTGCCTCCTTATCGACCATTACATAATTTCGCTCTCCGGGGAACAGTTTACGGCTGATATATACTATAGGATGTTCTTCCCCATTGACCTCTTGTGACAGGACTGCCCCCAGGCCCACCTCCAACGCGTCGGTCTGCAGCAGGAACTCTCTGTCAAAATCAGGGCTGAAGAGCACCGGCTCCTCGCATAGACGGTCCTTGAGGGTTTGAAAGGCCTGTTGGCATTCGTTTGTCCACCGTACGCACCGAGGACTGTCCTTCCTTAGGAGCTCTGTCAGTGGGGCTGCGATTGAGGCGAACCCGGGGACAAAGCGGCGGTAGTAGCCCGCTAGCCCCAGGAATTGCCGCACCCGTCTCTTCATTGTGGGGGCCTCACAGGCCTGTAATGCCTGGACCTTCCCCACCAAAGGTCGTACTTGCCCTTGCCCGAGCGTATATCCCAAGTAGGTGGTCTCTTGCCAGCCAATTTTGCATTTCTTGGGGTTGGCTGTCAGCCCGGCATCCCGCAGGGCCGTAGGACGGCGGCGACCTGGTTGAGGTGGTTCTCCCATCGGCAGCTGTAAATCACTACGTCATCAAGGTATACCGTTGCATAGGCTTTGTGTGGCTGCAGGACCCGATCCATGAGGCCAAAAGGCCTTCGGGGAAATTGATACAACCCGGTGGGGGAGCAAAGGCGGTCTTCTCCTGAGCGCTCGGACTTAGCTCGTCAATCCGCGGCATTGGGTAGGCGTCACATTTGGAGACGTTATTGACCCTCCTAAAGTCAATGCAGAAGCGGACTGTCCCATCTGGTTTTGGGACCAAAACGATGGGGCTGCGCCAGTCGCTTTGCGATTTCTCAGTTACTTCCAACTCCAGCATGATCCGTACCTCCTCTTCCACTATTTCCTGCATGCGGCGTGGCAACGGCCTGGCAGTCTCTCGTACGACCTCCCCTGGGTTGGTTATTATTTTATGTTGCAAGAGTGTGGTTTGTCCGGGTCTTGCTGTAAATGTTTTAGGGAAGGACTTTACCAGTCCTCGGGCTGCTTCCGTTGTTCCTCGGTCAAGGTATCTCCCAATTGCGGATCTTCAGGGTCAGTGGGGACTGTCAGTTCCGGTCCAAGTTCGGGCTCAGGGAGATACGGTGCGATCAAGAGCCCCTCCCGCTCCCTCCAGGCCTTCAACAACTTGACATGATAGATTTGCTTTTTCTTCTTTCGGTCGGGTTGGGACACTTCATAGGTGCTTTTGGGGCATTCTGCAGGTTTTCCTTTGCCAGGTCCCCCACCCGGGTCAGTCGGTCCTGGATTTGCAGGACGTACTGAAGCAGGTTGTGTGAGGGGGACGGCGTTTGTTCCCAGTTCTCCCGCATGAGGTCGAGTAGGCCCTTTGGTTGTTGGCCATATAGCAACTCAAAGGGGGAGAATTTGGTTGAGGATTGAGGTAACTCCCGGAGGGCCAATAAAAGGGGTGGGATCAGCTGCTCCCACTGGCGCATAACTTTTGGGGGGAACTTCCGCAACATATGCTTCAATGTGCGATTGAAGCGTTCCACTAGTCCGTCGGTTTGGGGGTGGTAGATAGAGGTTTGTAATTTTTTTATCCCCAGGAGGTCACAGACTTGGCGCAGGAGTTTTGGTGTAAAATTGGTGCCTTGGTCGGTCAGGATTTCCCAGGGAAGGCCTACCCGGGCGAAGATCTTCAGGAGCTCAGCAGCAATCGTCCGGGCTGTGATGTTTCAAAGTGGGATGGCTTCTGGGAAACGAGGGGCATAATCCAGGACCACTAGGCTATACCGGAACCCTGCAGCACTCTGGGGCAGGGGCCTCCCCAGATCCAGGGCTATCCTCTCGGAAGGAGCGCCTATGACGGGCAGTGGGATGAGCTGGGCTCTCGGGACTCCCTTTGGCGCGGCTCGTTGACACTCTGGGCACGAATCGCAAAAGACTCTTACCTCCCTATGCACCCCCGGCCACTAGAAGCGGGCCAGGATCCGGGCCAAAGTTTTCTCGTGGCCCAGGTGGCCAGCTGCCGGGACATCATGGACCTGCTGCAGCACTGCCCGTCGGAACCACGAGTTGTGCCCGCATCTCACGGTCTGGGTCTCGCGGGTGATCCGGTACAGGCGATCCCTCACCAACTCAAAATGGGGGTATGTGGTGGCCTGGTGGGGCAGGTTCAGGGTCCCATTAACCTTACCAATTGTTCGTACGCCCATCTAAGGGAGGGGTCCTCCCTTGGTCTCGACTGAAGTCTGCACCAAATGTTGGGGCCTCTTTCTGACCGGGTTCCCCGCCTTCCGGCCAGTCTGGGTTCAGGGGGCTAGCAGACTGGTCCTCCCTGTCGGGGTCCTCCAGGCCTTGGTCCACTTCTCCCACAGGTTCCCCTTCAAGGGCGGTCCCTGCGCGGGAAGTCCTGTCAGTCGTTGTCTGCAGGAGCCCCGCGAAGCCCTTCCAGTCTGGGCCCAGGATGACTGGGTACACCAACTCCAGGGCTGGCCCAGCCACCAGGGTCCGGGTTTCTCCCTTTACAGTCAGGGTCACCGTGGTCTTGGGGTAAGATTGCACATCCCCGTGGATACACTGGAGTTGAATGAACCCTAGTGACGGTTCAGGCCGGGGGATGGGGCCCTGGCGGACAAGTGTCTGCCCACACCCTGAATCAGTGAGCGCAGAGGCTGGGGCTCCATTCACTGTAACGGGGACAGTCAGTTTACCCGAGGGTTGTTTACGGGCCTGGGCCTCCCCCGAGCTGCAGTCCATCATCGGGCACTCTTGACGGAGGTGTCTGAGGCGGCCACAGGCGAAATGGGCCGAATTCAGGGTGTCGGGGCTGGTCCGGCGCAGTAGGTGCTGGGGCCGGCACCTCGGCAGCCTGGAATCTCCTTCCGATGGGGGCATCTAGCGGCCGGCCCCATTCTCAGAATAAGGAACAGGCTGGGGCCGGAGGGCGGGGAGGGGCCGTGAAACGGAGAGGATGCAAAGTGCCGGCAAAGGCACCAAGAGGCAGATTTTTAAAAGGTTTCGGGGCCAAATTCCCCAGTGGCCCAGACACCTCCTCCCCCCTGTGCTTGGATCTCATTGGCCAATCCAGCTCTAAGGGCTTGTCTTCCCTAGTGAGTTAACAGGAGACACAGCTCCCCCTAACTCAACCCCTGTCCACACACTAACACCTAGTGGTTAGAGCAGAGGGGGCTGGGAGTCAGGACTCCTAGGTTCTGTCCCCAGCTCTGGAGGGGAGTGAGGTCTAATAGGTTAGCGCAGGGTGGGTCTGGGAGTCTGGACTCCTGTGTAACCCCAGCTCTGACACCCCCGCTGAGTTACCTGCCTGCTCATCTGGGCCTCAGTTTCCCACGTGTGAAATGGGGATAATGATTTTGTTGCTCCTTGAGTGGAGAGCCGGGCAAGGCTCCCTGGAGAACGGCTGGAGACCTGGAAATGTCTGGCAGGGGCCCCCGCCAGGATGGGGGGGGGAATCCCCAGCTCTGCCCACTGGGAAACCAGGCCGCCTGCTTGGCTCACCTGTCTGTCTTGCAGCTCTGGTCCATCCGTCTGTCTGTCTAACCCCTCCTGTGCAGTGGCTAGACCAGCGTTTCTCAAATGCGGCTGCCGTGGCCGGATGCTGCCACCAGTGGATTTTTTTACGGCCACGGCAGCCTCCAAAGTGGAGACTGGGGGGGCAAAGCAGCGGCCCCCCCTGCAGCGCCCAGCTGAACAGCTGTTACCGAGGGCAGCGAGATGCTCCGGGCAGCACCTCTGGAGCCATGGGGCCGGCGTGCGCGGCGCTGGAGGCGGCTCTCCTCAGTGGAGAGGATGTGGCTGCGTCCGGTCACCGGGACGCTCCCCTGGGCAGCTTCCCCCACCCAGCCGGGACTCCGCAGGCGGCTGGTGAGTTCCCGACCCACCTTCCCCGGGGCGGGGACAGAGACGGGTTTGTCAGAACGGCCACCAGCAGTAGTTGGTGGCCGCACTCTGAGGTGAGAACACCTAGGCTAGAGGCCCCGCCCAGTATAGGGCCCCCCACCCCCATTAGGCTGGGCGCTGCACAGATCTGGCCTGAAATTGGGGTCCCCCATTGTGCCGACATGCAGTGGGCTCTGAGTCCCTTTAAAAATATGCCTGCCCTAAAGAGCGTGCAGTCTAATTACACATGGGGCTGAAAGGGAAACTGAGGCACAGAGCTGGGCCATGACTTGCCTAAGGTCACCCAGCAGGCCAGTGACAGAGTCGGGGAATGGAGCCCTGGCGTCCGGACTTCCCGCCCTGAACCCCGGCCAACACTGCCCTGCTAGCGCCGTTCTTCCCAGTGCCCTGTCCAGCGAGGCCTCCCCCAGTGTAGAGCCGTACAGGAATTTTCTGACCTAGCCCAGCTCGTAAAGTGATTGCTGACAAAGACAATGGTGATGGCTCCAGAGAGCCCAGTCCCCCTCCTCCCCCAGCTCCCTGTGACGTGGGGCCAAAGTGCAGGGCGAAGAGAGGAATTAATGAGGGTTAGAGGCCTGCAGCCGGCTCTGGAAACACCCTGGCTGTCTGGGGGGGCGGAGGGGGCTGTGAGTGCGGGGGGCTCTGGCTGAACCACGGACAAAGCGGCACCATGTCGTGGCTGGACCCAGATCCAGTTACTCGCTGGAGCCCTGGGCAAAGTCTGAACCAATCTGATCCCTTGTCTGGCCTCTGGGTGTCCTTGCACAACCAGGCACTAGTGCCAGGGTCCCTCATGTCAATCCCCGGCCCCTGGGTGTCCTCGCATACCCAGGCACTAGCACCCGGGTCTCTCACACTAATCCCCAGCCCCTGGGTGTCCTCGCACACCCAGGCACTAGCACCAGGGTCCCTCACAACAGCTGCAGCAGGACCAGGCTCCCTAGTGGGACAGGCTCTGTGCTCAGCACTTGTATCTGGGATGACCTCAGCGAGTCTTGTTAGCAACCTGCCCCACTGCAGCCCCTAACGGCTCAGGGCTTTCGACACCGCTGGAGTCCTGCCCTTCAGAGAAATGGGGGGGGAAGTAGCCAGGAGATAAGTGGCCTCTTGAAAAGGGAACCAATAAAACCCCTAGTTACCACCCGGATGTTTTCACAACAGAGCCGGCCTTGGCGCTTCCCCCAGATCCCACGGTCTCGCTTGGTGGGAGTCCGTGGGGCCAGCCCCTCAGCTGGGGTGACAGCCTCGCTCCATTGGCATAGCAAACTACTGCCCCCCTCCTTTCTCCCCCCGCTTCCCTCCCCACCTCCCCCAGCCCCTCTGCTTCAGCCCTGGGTGTTGGGTCTCTAGGTGCCGTCTGTCTTTGCCCTTTCTACTGGGACTGGGTCAGGTCACTTCCTTTTGTGCATTAGGTGTATTATGGTAGCAGCTATAGATCCCCGACTGAAATGGGGGGGCTCATGCGCCGGGTGCTGCACAGACCCTGCCCGCGCTCAGGGCCCTGCTGTGCTGGGCGTAACACAGACAGCCCTTGCCCTAAGAGCTAGACAAAGGAAGGCCCTTGGGCAGATTTTCTTTTGTTAAATCAATAGGAGTTAGACACGTCACTACCTTTACAAATCAGAGCCTTATCCCTGTTTTACAAATGGGGAAACTGAGGCACGGCAGATGGCAGTGACCTGTCCAGGGATTCTGCGGACGAACCAGAGAACGGAGGGCTGATCTCCAGAGCCCCAGTCCAGCGCCTTAATCCCCAAACCACCCTGCTGCTCTGTGTCTTTCCCCTCATGCAAAACGGATAACAGCGTCCTCTGTATCGGGGCTCTCAACCTTTCCAGACCACTGTGCCCCTTCCAGGAGTCTGATTTGTCTTGCGTACCCTGTTTCACTTCACTTAAAAACTGCTTGTTTACAAAATCAGACATAAAAGTGTCACAGCCACACTACTCCGGACAAATTGCTGAGTGTCTCATTTTCACCGTCTCATTATAAAATAAATCAATTGGAATATAAATATTGTCCTTACAGTTCAGTCTAGAGCACATAGACCAGTATCAACAAGTCAGTGTCTGTGTGAAATCTTAGTTTGTACTGACTTCGCTAGTGCTTTTTCTGTCGCCTGTTGTAAAACTAGGCAAATATCTAGATGAGTTGACGTACCCCTGGGAAGACCTGTGCGTACCCCCGGGGGTACCTGTACCCCTGGTTGAGAACCACTGCTCTGTAAGACACGGGAGGTGATTGTCCCGCCCTGCTCGGCACTGGCGAGGCCTCAGCTGGAGTCCCGTGTCCAGTTCTGGCGCTGCGCTTTCGGGAAGATGTGGACACGTTGGAGAGAGGCCAGAGGAGAGCACCGAAAAAGATCAAAGGTTTTTGCAAACCAGACCTGTGCAGAACGGTTAAAACATGGGGCATGTTTAGTCTTGAGCAAAAAAGACGACTGAGGGGGGACGTGAGAACAGCCCTCAAATACGCTGAGGGCTGTTACAAAGAGGCCGGAGATGTCCACGGAAGGGCCTTCCTACCTGTACGTTTGCCGTGGTGGTGCAGCCCTGTCGGCCCTAGGATTTCAGAGACGGGGGTAGGGGTAATTTCTTTTATTGGACAAACTTCTGTTGGTGGCAGAGCGGCAGCTGTGGAGACCCCAGCCCTGGGGGGGTTAAGAACAGGTTGGACAAACCCCTACAGGGATGGACTAGGGATGAACTGGTCCTGCCTCAGCACAGGGGCCAGCCCAGCCCTGCATGTCTGATTGCACGAGAGCAGGGGTGCTGCTGGGGGCCTGTGGGCCCCTGGGGCCGTGGCTGCTCGGCCGGGGGTGGGAATGCCATGGGGCCCTTTGGAGACGGCCCCCACTGGTCCCAGCCAGCAGCTCCTGGGTTGGAATTTGAGCAGCAGCCGGTCCGGGCTCCTGCCTGCACACCAGGGATTGGGGTTCCTGGACCCGCAGAGAGCCTAGAGAGAGATTGACCAGCCATGGCCGCCGGCCACCAGACCCCAGCGCTGGGGGGACTTGGCTGGCGTTTCCGGCCTCATCTGGGAAGCGGCGCCCACTGCCGGGACCCTGTGTGCGTCAGGGGAAGGGGGACACCCCGGGGGCAGCAGATTCCAGAGGAAACCGCAGCTCAGCCTGCCTGAGAAACGAAGCCCAGACTGTGCGGAGCTAAATCAACCCAGCTGTGCAGGCTGCCTCTGGGGGGCTGCAGGCCAGGAAATGGGGGGGGGGGGGGCGGGGGCGGGGGCTTAGCCCCCACCCACCCCCGCAAGGCTCTGTCATCTTAACCCCTTGTGGCCCCAGGAGGCTCCGTTCTCCTGAGGCCAGAGTCTCTGGTTGTTGTTTCTTAGAGTCCAGCTCCAGCACAGAGCAGAGCAGCCCAGCGGGGTGGACTAAGGGGGGAGCGCCTTCGGCATGCAGAGGAATAGGCTGTTATCCTGCAGTGGGGTGGCTGCTGGGAGGGGCACTCAGTAAACAGATGGAGGGGGGGTCAGTCACCCCTGTGCGAGCCTTGTGCATTGTGACAAGGGTCTACGAGGGAAATCTTGCCCTTGGTTCCCCCTGCATGGCCCTGCTCCCCCCTCCCCATCTCCCCCCATGGTGCTCTCTGTGCCCCTAAAGGCCCCGTTGACCTTCCCAGGTCTGCGCAGGTGCAGCCGACTGAGCTGGGGCTAACGATTCAGTCTGAGGGTGCTGGATCCGGATGAGAGTTCGGCTCGTCCGCCGGTAGCCGGGCTGGCTCTGCCAGGTTGGGGTGTGTATGTGCCAGTGTTGAGCGCATTGTGTGCCCGTCACTCCAGTTTGTGAATCTGCCTGATAGATGTGTGTGTGAGTCACTTTTCCACAGGCCATTCCCAGAGCAGCCCCTCCTCCCTTGGGATGTGCTCCTGCCCCAGAGTTTGTGCCCAGGCTGACGCCAACCAGGATCCCTCCCTCCTGCCAGCAGCCGGGCTCTGCGGTGGCTCTGATCTAGCGCCCCAGGGCGAGCGCACATCTGTCCAGTGTGGAGGAGGGCAGAGACGGGGACTATCTGCACTTTGTCTGGGGCCGCGGCTGCGGGAGTTGGGCCCTTTCCATTGCGTCAGGGGGACAATCACCCGTTTGTCCCGGGATCATTTCTCAGCGCTAACCTCTGTTCCTCCAGCACCCCGGAGGTGGGGGGCGGCTCTGATTCCACCCCCAGACTGACCTCGGGGGTGGGGCATCCTTGGCGCTGGGATGGTACTGATGGGGCTGTGTCAGGGGGGTCCCCGAGTGCCTGACAGTTCGTGCAGGTTCGGGGGAGGGCACAGGGCCTGATCCATCCCTCACTTACACTGTTTCACTGCAGGGTTACTCCAGATTTACACCCCCACGTGGGAAAGGAGAACTAAGAGCTTCTGTGCAGGTGGTGGTAACTGGGCCCGGTTTACAATGGGGTGATTCCTGGGGGCAGTGAGAGGAGACTCTGCCCCCCACCCTGCACCCCCCGGGCTGATGGTACCAAGCGCCAGGGGTTCCTTGGGAGTGAAAGGTCTGGTCTGGGTGCTGCTCCCCCCCCGTTTCCCCCCAGGCACCCCAGGAATTAGCGTGGCCCCTCCTGTGCCCAGGCTGTGAGTCAGATCCCTCCCTGGGGTGACTCCGCGCAGGCC